GGGGGGGAGGGGCGGGGGAGGCCGGGCCCGGGGGAGGCCGCTTTGTGTACCCGGGAAGGCATTACGTCACCTCGGAGCGGCTGGCCCCCGACCCGGGCCTCTGGGCTCTCGGCTCGGCTGCACGCCCAGGGGCGGAGAGTGGAGTGGAAAATGGGAGGAAGAAGGGAAAGAAAAGCTGGGCGCGCAAGTGTTTTCCTCTGTGGGGCTTCCTCCAAAATGGGCCAGGGGTGCAGACTTCCTGGGCCAAAAATCGAGGAGTTTCCCTGCTCCTCCCTCACGTCTACCCCAGCTTGGATGAGCGTCGCTGCCGGTCAAGGGGTCCTTCACATCCCCTAAGACAGCCTGTCTGTCCCTCAGACGACCCAGAAATCTTGAGCATCCAGACTACAGCTTTTAGGGTGGGGCCGTAATCCAAGTAGGAAATGGCTTTTCTCACTCCCCAGTAAGGGGTTTGTGGAAACAGAACCCAATGAGCTCTCCCACCTCACTATCAGAAAGAAGACATCAGAGCAGGGGAAGCATCCAGAAAACAGATCACACCCATTAGCTACTGGTTCCCACTGATTCCCAAAGGCTAAATCTTAGCTGTATTTCTTTCTTACACCTCATTCACCTTCTGCGTCTTTATCTTTGAGTCCTGAATTTCCAAAATAGGTGGCCCTTTTGTGGTTACATGAGCACTCCGTGATTTTCGTACTGCTGTTTTTCTTCTTACACCTTCTTTCCAACATACTCTTTTCTCTAATTGCAGTTCCAGGTTCCTGAGAAAGTTAGAAGTTATGAAACATAATGTAGCAGTTTCTTTTAGGGGGAAAAGAGAAAAAAGATTTTTCAAAGACGGGGGCACCTGGGTGGCTCAGTCGGCTCAGACCATGATCCCGGGGTCATGGGATCGAGCCCCTTGTTGGGCTCGGCACTGAGTGTAGAGCCTGCTGATGAGTCTCTCTCTCTCTCTCTCTCTTTCTCTCCCTCTGCCCCCATCTGCCCTCTCTAAATTTGAAAAAAGAGAGAGCGAGAAAAGATTATTTCAGCCTTTTACGTACTCCATTTTATTCCGTCCTTATGGTATCCTCCAGTTTTAGCATTATTATATAAATTTGCCAGATGAGGAAACTGAAGTTCAGCGAGATAAAGTAACTTGGGGTAAAGTCAAACAAACACGCAAGGGTAGTGCTAGGATTCAAACCAATGTCCAGTTGACGCCAAAACAAAGTCCGTTGTCATTTCACTGTGTCACCCTGGCCCACTTGACAGGGAAAGGCTGTTTTATGTTTTAGCACAGGGAGTGTCGGCAGCAGGTCTGGTCAAAGGCTGAGAGAGCTGGGCACAGCCCCAATATGGCTCCCAGGTCTTTAGGCGTGTACAGAGGGTCCTACGTAGCTGCCATTTCTGACTTCCTCACATCTCCTAGAGTACTTCATTTCAGATGCCTTAGCCCTCGGGAGATACACCAAGCCAACACTCAATTATCCGTGACCTTGGAGGACAAAAGGAGCAAGCAGCACAGTCACTGCAATTTACGACTACTTTAGAACGCTGGCTTCAGCCATTAGTTCCAACTTCCTTTTCCCACCAAGCTTTTGACTAAAGCAAGACAGAGGGTTCTGAGTTTCAGCATCTCTGCTTTTTTCTAGTTCACTGCCTTGGGTGTGGGGGAGAGAGACGGGGGTTAACAGATATGAAAATGAAGAAGAAAATGGGGCAAGAGTGGGAAACCAGGTAGAGGAGAGCAGCTGGATAAGCCACGGATGGCTTCATCTGCTTGTCTTTTTTCCCTTCTCTATCCCCCTGAAAGTGGGAGTCCTTCCTCTTCTCTCTACCCATCCCACCCCCATCTTCTTTTTTATTATTATTATTTTTTTAACGTTTTTATTTATTTTTGAGACAGAGCATGAGCAGGGGAGGGGCAGAGGGAGCGACACAGAATCGGAAGCAGGCTCCAGGCTCTGGGCTGTCAGCACAGAGCCCGACACGGGGCTCGCACTCGCAAACCGCGAGATCATCACCTGAGCCGAAGTCGGACGCCCAGCTGACTGAGCCCCCCAGGCGCGCCCCCCACCTCCACCTCCATCTTCTAACTGCAGACGTGGAGGCATTATAAGCAGTAGTGGGTTGTTGCGAGATCACAGAGTAGGTCTATAGTGGAGCCAAAAGGATTACTCCAGTGTCCCCAGCCTGGGCCTTTACACCTCCCTTTCACATCATTGTCAAAAATGTGCCTGTCTTGTTGGTTTCCTGCTTTCCTCTTCTCATGGAGGCAACCAGTGTTCACTGTCATTAGTCAGTAGCAAGCAGTTTTCAGGAATGTCCCTGGTTGGTGGTGAATGGAAAGCCACTTTTTCACATTGTGCCCATTCTGATTGACAACTGAATCCAATCAGTTGGTCAAACAAATATTTACTGAGCTCCCATTAAATGCAAAGACTCAGGGACTCAGAGATGGACAGCGTGTTATTTCCACGCGCCTTCAAGGAGCTTACCGCCAAGGCTGCTCCTATTTTATGAAACCTGTCACTAACAACTCTTATTTCACTTAATATATGAGAATAGACACTATTATTATTTAAACCTCGGTTTATTTTGTTAACAGCTTCACTCCTTAGTATTATTTAAAAACGTAATGCCTTCTTTTCTTGCCTGATCCCAACTTTCATAGCATCATGGGATGTTGGAGAAAGAACTTAAGAGACATTTAGTCCAATCTCTACTGAAGAGATCTCTCTCAGAATACGCCTGACCAATGGGGATCAAACCTCCAGAAGTTTTCAGTTGGAGGTTCACTGCCTTACGAAGCAATCTGGGCCATTGTGAGGCTGAACTAATAATAATTTGACTCTTTTCACTGAGTCAAAATCTGTCTTCCTGTAGCTTGTATGCACTGGTGCTAGACCTGTCCCCTTTGTAAAGTCAAATCAGACCTTTTCCATCAAAATGCCTTGAATGATTGAAGAAAGTTGTTATTCCCAGACCCCTCAGCTCCAATTCCTTCAACTTTTCCTCATTTGATACGGTTTCCAGGGCTTTTACTATCTTGATTATCCATTAATGGAGAGGTGCTCTGGGGTCAGGCAGACCAGGGTTTGGATCCCATCACCGCCATTTGCTACCTCGTGGCCTATGGCAGATTTGAGTCCCCAGGTTCCTCAGTTATAAAGTGAGGATATTAGTGGTACCTGGTCAGTGAATTCATTGATTCAGAGAGAGCTCTAGAACAACGCGAGGACACAATAAATGTGCACAGAAAAATAGCGATTTTTATTCTTGTCATTGCTAGACAGAACACTCCATATATGTTATGCCAGTGCAGATTAAATTATGCTACCCCCCAACCCTGTCATCGGGACATCATACTCCTGGTGTAGGTTGGCATCAGCCTAATTATACTTCGGAGTAAACAACCAGATTATTTCTGCTCAGACTTGTTAAGTAAGGCCTCCCGTTGTGTATCAACAGGTTTTTGAAGGCCAATATAGAATTTTACATTTATCCCTGATGTATGTAATCATACGGACTCCTTTTTTTTTCCTGTCTGTGGAGGCCGTCGTGAATTCACTAATTCATTTCTTCAATGAAATGACTACTTACTATGTGCCGCATGGTTCTAGGACCTGGGGATATAGCAGTGATCAAAACAGACAGTCACTAATCTTATCTAGTAAGGAGGACAGATGAATATATGTCAGGAGTACTAAGTTCTATGCGGAAAAATAAAGCAGAGTGATGGGCATATTATCTCATTTGGCGCAGCCAGGAAATGCTGCTCTGATAAGGTAAGATTGGAGCAGAGGTCTGCAGTTGGTGAGGCAGTGAGCCAGGCAGATACCTGTGGAGGGATGTTTCAGGAAGAATCTGGAATATGTTGAAGTCACGTTTATTTCCTTAGTCCTCCCTGCCCTACGCATGGCTTCCCCAAAAAGTAATGTGGGCAACCAGAGGCCTTATCGAGACCTTTTTTTTTTTTTTTTTTTTCAACGTTTATTTATTTTTGGGACAGAGAGAGACAGAGCATGAACGGGGGAGGGGCAGAGAGAGAGGGAGACACAGAATCGGAAACAGGCTCCAGGCTCTGAGCTATCAGCCCAGAGCCCAACGCTGGGCTCGAATCACGGATCATGAGATCGCGGACTCGGCTGAAGTCGGACGCTTAACCGACTGCGCCACCCAGGCGCCCCGTTATCGAGACCTTTAAGGCCCAAATCCAGTTTGGCTTCAGTGAACTTAAAGGGCAAAAGAAACCCCAAACTTGTTAGGGTCCCAGCTTGTGTGGGAAAGGACAAGAGGAGAGGAAGGGAAGGAAACGGTCTGTTTCTCTTTAGTTATCTGTTCATGCAACAAATATGTTCCAAGTACACGTTTGTGTTTTCAACATTGGGGATACAGAAATGACCCCAACAGACAAAATCCCTGTTCTCGTGAAGCTTACTCTTTAGTGAAGAAGTTACTTACTGTCGTAAAATTTTACACGTGTGTGTGTTCCTATATATATTGTGGGGGTGCACACACGCTTGTGTTTTGCCGTGTGTGAGACAGATAGACCTATGGAGACGATGACACAGGGGGCGGGGGGCCTAGGCGGGAAGACGGTTGAGCTTTGAGGTAGGGTGGTCAGGGAAGGCCTTGCTGAGGTGATATTTGAGCAAAGAGCTGACATTTTGCACAGTCCCGGTTTCTTCCTATTTAAGATGCAAGTATTGGGAACTGGGAGCTGAAATTTGGAATGTATTTTTAAAATACTCAGATCCAGACTTCTTTTTACCACCCTTGAGCGCACTCCCCAAACCACCCAGGCTCAGCCCTAATCCTTCCACCCCAGCTGCCAGGCGGCCCGCACAGGCCCACGGCAAACCCTGTGCTGGATGCTGTGGAACATTCTCCCGAAGCCAGACGCAGCCTGTGCCCTTGAGCGTTGTGTAACAGTTGAGGTAGAGGTGACTTTGTAACACCTCCAGGGTAGCTTTATGTGAATCACAAATCAGTAGGAGCGACCCAAGTCCTTAAGTGCTGCGAGAGGGCCAGGGAAAGAACGGGGAGTCAGGTGGGGCCCTTCCCGGAAGGCTTCCTGGAGAAGAGAAAGACTTCACCGGGTTCGGTGGAAAGGAAAAGCCGTGGTTGGTGGGAGGGGATGGCGCGGGGCATCCCCGGGAGAGGGGAGGTTCTCAAGCCCAGACGGGCCGGATTGGCGGTGCAGGTGCCAGATTGCCTTGGCTTCGCAGAGGCCCCCAGTGGAGGAGCTGCAGACGGGGGTTGAGGTCCACCTGCCTTGACGCGTCTCTGGTCTCCACCTGCAGATGTGTCGCCGGTGGTGGCCGGCCTGGTCGGGGCGTCCGTGCTTGTGGTGTGCGTCTCGGTGACCGTCTTCGTGTGGACGTGCTGCCACCAGCGGGCAGAGAAGAAGCACAAGACCCCCCCCTATAAGTTTATCCACATGCTCAAAGGCATCAGCATATACCCAGAGACCCTCAGCAACAAGAAGAAAATCATCAAAGTGCGGAGAGACAAAGACGGCCCCGGGAGGGAAGGGGGGCGGGGGAGCGTGCTGGTGGACGCGGCGGAGGCTGGCCTGCTGGGCGGAGACAAAGGCCCCGGGGGCCCCAGCTCTGGATCTTGTATGGACCAGCTACCTATTAAAGTGGACTATGGGGAAGAACTGAGGAGCCCCGTCGCGAGCCTGACCCCTGGGGAGAGCAAAACCACTTCTCCGTCGTCTCCGGAGGAGGACGTCATGCTAGGATCCCTCACCTTCTCGGTGGACTATAACTTCCCGAAGAAAGCGCTGGTGGTGACAATCCAGGAGGCTCACGGGCTGCCGGTGATGGATGAACAGACCCAGGGCTCCGACCCCTACATCAAAATGACCATCCTTCCCGACAAGCGGCATCGGGTGAAGACCAGAGTGCTGCGGAAGACCCTGGACCCCGTGTTTGACGAGACCTTCACCTTCTACGGCATCCCGTACAGCCAGCTGCAAGACCTGGTGCTCCACTTCCTCGTCCTCAGCTTTGACCGCTTCTCCCGGGACGACGTCATCGGGGAGGTCATGGTGCCGCTGGCCGGCGTGGACCCCAGCACGGGCAAGGCACAGCTGACCAGGGACATCACCAAAAGGAACATCCAGGTGAGGAGGAAGAGTGTGTTGGCGGG